ATATATATATATATATATATATATACACACACACACACACACACACACACATATATATATATATATATATATATATATATGGCCCAAAATATACCCATTGAACCTGTATAAACGGGTTCAGGGCCGGTTTACCTCCACGAAAGACACTCCGCCCATCGGCGTAGCCTCGTTCGGGTTCCTCCTCGCCCGAAGGCAGAGAGTTCAACGGAACAGCCGGTCAAGACTTGAACTACTGACTCCACTTGAACTACTGACTGAGGCGCAGTATTTATTAAGTATGGAATAGTCCATTATTATTATTATGGATAAGATTCCATAACATTGATGATCGAAAGGGACGCCTCAATATGAACATTTCAGTGTTTGGATATCAATCTGAGGAGAGTGCTGACAATTTGTAAAGAGTTGGAATGAGTCTAATGGTGATTACGAAGGTGTTTGGAGTGATCACTAGTGATGGCGAATTTATGTCCCCATTCATCTTCCCACAGGGCCTCAGACTCAACATGGAGAACTACATAAATCGCTTGAGGAGGTTGTGCTGCCTTGGATCAAGATTGCTGGAAGACGCAATGCCTGGCAACAGGATTCTCTACCATGCCACACAAGCAGGAGAACCCAGTCATGGCTGTTGAACCAACTCTGCTACCACATAACCCCTTACATCTGGCCACCTAACTCCCCAGACTGCAACAATTTTGATTATTATGTGTGGGGCTCATTTGAGTGAGAGACCAAAAAGCAAGGAGGCTGTATGGAAGAGGTGCAAGAGATTCCTAAGTCGTCTGGAGGGCGTGGTTATAACCAATAGGAATTTTATTAAATAAATTTACTCTTTAGTATTTCAAGATATTTTTGTGTAATTTTAGTAAATATATCTGTTAAAATGAGTTATCAGTGTTATTTTAATTTTTGCGTAATTTATACGACAATTTATTCATCACACCTATATATATATATATATATATATATATATATATGTATGTGTGTGTGTGTGTGTATAAATACACACATTATTATATATATATATATATATATATATATATATATATATATATATATATATATATATATATATATTTTCTGAGATGAGGTATTATTCGGACTATTGTCCTCATCTTTGTCACCATATTTATTACAACGTTTCGGCCTTTCAGTATCTGTCTATATTTCTGAGATGAGGTATTATGTACATTATTTACATTATTCGGACTATTGTCCTCATCTTTGTCGCCATATTTGTACGCTCCGGCCTTCTTCAGGTGGTTGGAATGTCGAACTGAACCCTTTATTCCGCTCACTGGGGTAGACTGTTCTAGTTCCACGTGCCATGTCTAATGGATGTCAGTTATCAGTTATCTCCTGCTGAAAGTTTCCCTCTGAAAGTTCTCCACTGCCTTAACCGGGTACTGAACTCACACACTTTGTGTCCTGTTAGATCCAGTGACAGGACCCATATATATATATATATATGTATATATATCAGAATTAGAAAGTTGCCGTGACAATATATGTCGTGACAATTTTTCACGGCACAACAAAGGTGATAAGAATGATAAGGACATTAGTATGCGTATAAATACTGATAACTCCTGATCCCAGAAATTCAGACAGAAAAGAAGTTATGGAGAGCCATAATCGCTGACGTCCTGAAGGCACATGGCATATAAAATAAGAAGAATCAGTTTAAAATTCAATTAAGATTTAAAATGGGAACATTTTTAAAAAAAAGTTTTTTGTTTATTCACTCGACCTGACAAAATGTCTCTTGTTCTTCAACCCAGTATTCAGAAAAAACCAAAATGGCGAAAAATATTCAAAAAATTTATACGAAGGATTAGCAAATAAAATTTCAAAGAACGAAAATACATGAATTTATATATATATATATATATATATCAAAGTATTCAATCGGATACGATGAATATCGTTCTACTGAATATTCCCTTTCTCAATGCTATTTATTGATTTAATATTTACACACACACATATATATAGATATATATATATATGTAAGTTTATTACAGTGACAATAGAGACGTTTTCTAATTTGATCTGTTTTTTATTTTTATAATATGTAGAAATAAGAAAAAGCATGAAAATAGAAATGTCGCCATATTTTTATCTCTAATTGGCTGTTATGTATCGTTATGCGTCGACGTCAAAGCAATAAATTGAGTGAGACCAGATATTGTAATGAATTTTCATGGGTTGCCAAGAATAAGTAGGTCACAAATCTTCATCTATTAAAAGACCGAAAGTTAAAAAAAAAAGAAAATCAGAAAAAAAATAATTACTCGTTATTGCAGTGAATATTTTAAAACTAACAACAAATATTTGACTAACAAGTCGCAATCTTGTTAGAAGATTGAAAATGTTGAATAAATATATTATTTCAAAACATAGACATCATGGCTGCAATCGGCTTTTGACAATCGATTTTTATAAGCTGATTGCGTCGTTTCTTGCGCCATTTAAATATCTTCAATTATTTTAAAATAATATTTAGTCTCTTTTGCTGTCAGGCAAAGGTTTGTACGTTTCCCTTCGAAATGATAAATCATGAAACTGAAAAATTAAATAGCTGATATTTTAAAGTTTAAAATGGTAAAAAGTGTATCTGTAATCAAATTTAAAACAAACGTACAATTTTAAAAAAAATATTCAAGGTGCACTATATATGGATGTGTTTGTATATGCAAGCTATTTTATATAATTTGTGATGGAAAAGATGTTATAAATTTCAAAATGGACATTCGCATGGAATAGAAATATACTAAAACAAGGGATAAAAACAGGGAAATATACAGAGTGAGTCGAAATAATTAATAATTATGTTAATTATCTGTACATTTTCATAAATGAAGAGGTTATTTTTGCAACATTTGATAACAACACATAGATGTAATACAGAAGTTTATTTAAAATTTAGATTTAAAATCTTTTTCCACTATCAACCGTTAAAACAAGTTAAAATCATTTATTCATCATTAATTATTAAAAGAAATATAGAAGTCTTTGAACATTTTAAGCACTTCAGGCATAACAGTTACTTGAAAATCAAAAACTTGCCCTTGGGTATGGTTCTCTTGCCAATACACTTCAGGTGCACACACTGAAGACAACAGTCACAGGCCACAGACTCCATGTTGTTCAAGTTCTGCCTACACATCTCACACAACCACTGCTCTGACGATCTCAAATATAATTTATTTATAATTCTAAAACCCTATTTATATTTACCGGCAAAACAGACTTAATGTCTATTTTGCCGGGAGCGGCAAAATACCTTATTCGTTTCATAAAACATCTTTTACTTTGAACCGTATAATTGTAGAAGTCCAGTGATCTCAGCGTTGTTTACGAGTGTTTATAATCGATTGGGTCTATCACTGATTGACTTCATCATTCCCTTTACTTTTCCTATTTTTTCTTCAAATCTGGATGATGTCATGATAAGGAAATTAGGTGATGATGACAACAAAGATGAGGACATTAGTCTGAATGTAAATAATGATAACTCCCCATCCCAGAAATATAGAAGGCAACCAGGTGATGATGACAACAAAGATGAGGACATTAGTCTGAATGTAAATAATGATAACTCCTTATCACAAAAATACAGAAGGCAACCAGGTGATAATAAATCACTAAAGATGAGGACATTTGTCCGAATCTAAGTAAGGATAAATCCTCATTCCGGAAATACAAACAGAAAGCAATTAGATGTGTTATGGTCCAGTTCCTTGTACCATGGTGATAGTCCAAGGTAGAACCAATAAAGAAGAACTCGAACACAGGTATGGAATAACACAGATATATTACAACAGGAATATATGCAGAGAAGTAGAAGTGTTATTATGAACAATCAGGTTTAGTAGAGAGAACAATGTAGTCTCGACCAGTATCACTATTCCAATGTCTTGCAGTAATTGTCTGAACGCGATTCTGTTTCGGACTGCCTCTGACTCGACTCTTGACTCGACTTGAACTACTGACTGACGATGTTCAGTTACCCCCCGCCACGAGGGCGTCATGTGGCACAAGGCAGGTTTAACGTGGGATCTCCGAGCCCGTAGGTTCGGCCAAAAATATGCCCATTGAACCCGTATAAACGGTTTCAGGGCCGGTTTACCTCCCCGAATGAGAATCCGCCCGTCGGCGTAGCCCTTTTCGAGTTCCTCTACGCCCGAAGGCAGAGACTTCAACCGATCAGCCGGTCGTCCGACATCGACGGACGATATTCAGTCACCCACCACCACTGGGGCAGCATGTGACACAATGTCGGTTATTTAATGTGGGATATACGAGCCAGTGGGCTCGGCCCATAAATAGGTCCACTGAACCCGTATAAACGGATTCAGGGACGGTTTAGCTCCCCGAACGAGACTCCGCTCCTCGGCGTAGCCTCGTTCGGTTTCCTCTCCGCCCCAAGGCAGAGAGTTCAATCGAACAGTCGGTTCAGAAGTGAACGACTGACGATATTCAGTCACCCCCCACCACCACTGGGGCAGCATGTAACACAAGGTCGGTTATTTATTGTGGGTTCTCCGAGCCCGTGGGCTCGGTCCCAAAATATGCCCATTGAACCCGTATAAACGAACATTTCGAGTCACGAACGGCCTTCAAGAATCAATTAAATTCGTTAACCGAGGTTTGGATATACTCGCGTTTTGAGACTCTAACATGTCAACAAGCGCCGATTAAATATGTTAAGTTGTTTTTTGGGTTTTTTTTTTAGCGGTATATCAACACATCTGTGGGTTATTTAATTCTGAAATCTAAATTTTCTATATGAGGTTCTATAATTTCTTTGGCGATAATGATTGTTTTTACTGATACAAGTTTTAGTAATTAACCCATAGCCGGGGGAGAAGAGAGGGATTCTTACAATTCCCAAAGCCATTTGCGAGCAAGTGAATAACGAACACATCAGGAGTTAGAACTATTTGATTAACAATTCCGAGGCATTATCCTTTAAATCATCCGTACATCCAAGTTTACAGTACCTGGTCTTTCCAAATGGTCACCCATCTCGATACTAACCAGGCTCAACGTTGCATAACTTCGGTAATCGTACGGGGATCGGTGTTTCAACGTGATGCAGCCGTAAGCCATAAAAAATTTGACATCGGTTTGATTTAGACGAGAGACAAAATAGTGGACATGTTTTTTACCCTAATCGAATTTGCACTATGATTTTATCACTGCTTTTATTTTATACTGTATCTAAAGAAACCTGCAATAATACGTATATGAATTTCAATATTGTATATGAATTTCAATATTGTCGCCTTGTGTCACACTTAAAATTCAGGTATCCGTCTTGGATTCAAATTATGTGAGCGTCACAGAGGCAGATGTGGAGATTCCATTCATGAGTTTGGTTTGCATCCTCTCCCTTGTCGTCGTAGTGCCGGCCGCTTTCCCCAGCATGCCACAATAAACGACATCATCAGAAGAGGTATAGATGCAGCTGGATTCCCTTCCCAAATCGAACCCGCAGGCCTCGACCGTGGTGATGGAAAGCAGCCGGATGGCATTACCATTTTCCCTTTTAAAATGGGGAAGTCGTTGATTTGGGATGCGACCTGTGCGGATACATTTTCGGCTGGCAATTTGATCAGGTCCGCATTTCAGCCGGATTCCATCGCCCGGGACGCAGACATAAAAAATAGTTAAATATTCTTCTTTTGCTGATAATTTTTTTTTAATACTGTGGCAGTGGAGACTTCTGGGGTTATTGGCCATCTTTCGATGGCATTCCTTCGGAGGAATGACGCGATGGCGTCTCGATTAAGGGACGAGCCTCGCGAAACGAAGTGGCTCTTGTAGCGTGTCTCACTACCGATGATGCGCGGTATCGCTTTCTTCATCATTGCGGCTGGCAGAGGATAGCAAAAAAAAATTGTTTATAATCACTTTGTTCAAGCTTTTTTTCAATAAATTTAAGTAAATATTAGGAGATTGTTAACAAGATATAATAAGTGTTTGTCTTAGATTTTTTCTTAATATTCATTACTAGTTTTTACTTGATTTATTTTATAGGACACTTAAAACTATGACACCAGCTGTTTAATATAGTTACATTAAATACAGGCGGTTATTATTTACAAAAGCATAATAAAATATAGAAAATAAATGGAAAATAAAATGAACCTTTAATTAGTTTATATGAAAATACAGAAAGATACAAAATATGGAGAAAAAAATAATGAGTATTTATTTAAATTCCAAAGATATTTCTTTACAAAACTGTTTGAAAATACAGTACAGATTTTCGCTCTTCATATTCACAAGGTTAGTTCCAGCTTCGAATCTCCTTGAACGAACGACTGGTTCGAAAATACATGAAAATCTTGTTGGGGTACATTTAATAAACCGTTAAAATACATTGTGAAAAAAAAACAATGAAATAGGCAAAACAAAACAAACCACTAAGGTACTTCGAGAAAGACACAAAAATAGGAAGAGGAAAAAATTCTGTATCTTTGTTAATAAAATACTTTAGGAGTTTGTTTTATTTTTCGTTAGTCCAGGGTATGACGATAAACTGCAATCGGCAGCAAGAGCTCTGATCGAGATATTGATGGTTTTGAAGAGCGTCGAACAACCTCTTAATTGCTATTGTTCCCAGGTCCACCTCGATCCGTAGTGGTAGCACAAGTTAGGGTCCCAGCTATGTGTAAATAGTGAACCCCCAAACAAATAGAAAACTCTAAGTATAAAAAGTATAAAAATACATTTTTATCGTCAAAATACTAGCAATACAGTTTTATATTAAAAAAAAATACCAGCGATACATATTTACACAGCGCGATGTATGAAGTGTCTTCTAAATTACGAAAAAAATGGAAATAACACAGATATCTCATTTTAACAGATATATTTATCAAAATTACACAAACATATCTTGAAATACTAAAGAGCAAATTTATTTAATAAAATCGCCAATAGTTTTAACTACGGCCTCGGAATCTCCTGCATTTCTTCTGGACGGTTTCCTTGTTTAAGTTGGTGAATGCTGCCATAATACGTGCCTTCAGTTCATCTTTGGTGTTACAAGGAGTTTTGTTGGACTTTTGCTCAAACTGCGCTTCACACATAAAGAAGAAGGGAATTGCAGTCTGGAGAGTTAATTGGTCAGGGATTATATTGTCGCAGAAATAATCCGACTGGGTTTTCCTCCTTGTGTGGTATATTGCAGAGGCCTGTTGCCAGGTATAGGGTCTTCCAGCAGCCACCCTCTTGACTCAGGACAGCACTAACTCCTTAAGGTGCTTGATATAAGCCTCCGTGTTGAGTTTGAGGCCATCACCATTCAATTCGAGAATTCTTTTATCAAAACGAACAGTGAGTTTTCCGAGCTGCTTTCGGAATCAGCATTAGACTCTCCGAATCCTCAACAGTGTCCTCAGATTCACACCCAAACATTCTGGAGCTTCCGTCGTGAATGTCAGCAAGGCGTTTCCAAATTTCTGGGGGAGTGAATTGCGTCATGGTTCTCCTTTTCTCACAGACGGTGCCCAACTGACCCTACTACACAGTGCAGTCGACAAAATCAAAAACTAACAACGCGCATGGCGAATTTTTTTTTTTAATCGCGACAATTTACCCATCGCATCCTGTATTGTAAAATTACTAAAAATGCATTTTGAAAGTAGAATTACTAACAAAACATTATATAAGAAAATTACTAACAATGGATTTTTTGTAGTTGAAGCCATAAAATTGTGTTCAATATTTTTAGATTTCGGCATTAAATAACCCATAGAGGTGTTGATATGCCGCTAAACAAAATCAACCAACCAAACAACCAATATAAAGGAATTTTCATGACATTAATCCACATAATATTCTATAATTTCTTAAAAAAAACAGAATGTATTCCCAATATAACTTAAACAAAAGTACAGCATGAAAAGATACTAATTACCGCCTCTATTACATACAAACATATAGATATACAAAAGCTGAGAATTATCTACCATGTATCCAATTGTGAAAGCAGAATAACATACATCATATTTTTATTACTACATTTGCATTAAATGACCCATAAAGTGTTAATATGCCATTAAACAAACCATTCAAACAATCAATAAGTTTTTATCTTCTTTTTTTTGTATTAATTAATGTCTGTCCTGTATGTTTGTTATTAAATTTTAGACCTCTAAGATTTTCAAATTTATATACATTAGTTTCAAACTATTTGTACAGTTTAGCAACAAAATGGGTTTTATATAGAATGTTTCTTTTTCAAACGAAATTTCTAACTCTTATGTAAGGACCTTTATATTAATTTAATAAGTACTAGAATAGAGTTATGAATTGACAGCAGTCATATAGACAAGCCAAGTCTGATGGCCAGCAGGAGACTCTTCAAGTAGAAATATTTCACTGAACTTGAATCCATTTCCCGGGGCGAAAACTGATTAAATGACTTTCTCTCTTTACTTTAATCTTTCTGAGTAGCCGAATGTCTTTGTGCGAATTCCAATCGATTTTATTGCTACAACCGAAGTTGAAGAATTTCATTTCCTGTAGCCCGTGAACTTCCTGATAACTTTGCAACACCTTCCTGATGGACTACATTTACAAAATTGGATTAAGTCGTGTCTCCCATATAACTGTACCAGCCTCATTACGCGTTAATTCATTGAGTCTCTTCACGTAACAAGAAAAGATCGAATATTTCTTTTTGTATCTACTGCTATGTACCAAGCTTTTTCGCGCCTGTGTAATATTTTTTTTTAGAATGAAATGACTCTAGATGTTTCGACCAGCAGTTCTTGATTGACTTCAGATGATATTTTTTTTACGCGGGAAAAAAATACCACCGACTTCGACTGACGTTTATATTGTTTGCAGTCAGTCAGTTAAGAACCGCACGTGATGCACGCTTGGGTGATTATGTCTCTTTCGATACATGACTGACTAGGCAAAAGATTTTCCCGCAGGAGACTGCCGTTTCTTTTTACGGCAGACTGGTTGCCAACCAAAGCTATAGGACCCAGTCTGACCTGCTACTTAAACCGTTTGCCGGGAGAGAAGATATGGGTTCGTACTTTTCCCAACAGTATTTGCGCGTAAATAAATGCAAAGAACCAAACTGGAATTCGAACTTGGTTCTCCGAGTTTTCATGTCAATCCGATATCCACACCGTTGTTTTCTTACATTTTATGAATGAGTACTCCATCCTATCAAGCCAAAAATGTTCCTCCTAGGTATGACGATAAACTACATCCGGATGCAAGGATTCTGACCGGGAGATTAGAGGTTTTGAGTTGAGTGGAAACAACCCCTTACTTGATGTGGGTCCTACGCCCTTAACTCGGGGTGGTAGCACCTGTTAGAGTCTCAGCTATGAGCAACTCCAAAACAAAAATGAACAACCATACAATTTTATGGCAAAATAACAATCAATACAGCACTAAAAAAATACATTTTACAATAAAATTACCAACAATTCATTTTATTATTTACAAACTATATATCTAAAAGCATACCTTTAACCAGAAAGTATAAAATAACGTGCACAATATCTGTAATTGAAAGCATAAAATTACGTACGAAATATTCAGTTTTCGGCATTAAATAACCTATAGTGGTTGGTATGACACGAAAAAAAATCAACCAACCAGTCACAGTCAGTTAAGTGCCATGCGTGATATACGCTTAGGCGATCATGTACCTTTCCATACATGACTTAAGAGGCAGATTTTTTTACCGCACTAGGTTGCTATTTTTTTTTTATGCGGTAGACCATTTGCCATCCAAGGCTATAGAACCTGGTCTATCCTGATATATACCCATAGCTGGGTGGGGGCGGAGAAGAAGAGGATTCATAAATTTCCAAAGGTTTTAGCACGTAAGTAAATTTCAGTCAGTTATGTACCATGCGTAATACACGCTTAGGCGATCATGTATCTTTCGATACATGACTGACCAGGCAGATTTTTTTTCCCGCACCAGGTTGCCATTTCTTTCTGAGGTAGATCAGTTGCCATCCAAGGCTATATAACCCGTCCTGCTATTTACCCATAGTTGGAGGAAGAAGACTTTTCTAAGTCTATCAACCCGAGTGAATGTAATGGATTCGA